GCTGCTGCTGCTGCTGCTGCTGCTGCTACTGCTACTGCTGCTGCTGCTGCTGCTGCTGCTGCTACTGCTGCTGCTGCTGCTGCTACTGCTGCTCCTGCTGCTGCTGCTGCTACTGCTGCTACTGCTGCTGCTACTGCTACTGCTGCTACTACTGCTCCTGCTGCTGCTGCTGCTGCTGCTGCTGCTACTGCTGCTGCTGCTGCTGCTACTGCTGCTGCTGCTGCTGCTGCTACTGCTGCTGCTGCTGCTACTGCTGCTGCTGCTGCTACTGCTGCTACTGCTGCTGCTGCTACTGCTGCTGCTGCTACTGCTACTGCTGCTGCTGCTGCTGCTGCTGCTGCTGCTGCTGCTACTGCTGCTGCTGCTGCTGCTGCTGCTGCTACTGCTGCGGCTGCTGCTGCTGCTACTGCTGCTGCTGCTGCTACTGCTGCGGCTGCTGCTGCTGCTGCTGCTGCTGCTGCTGCTACTGCTGCGGCTGCTGCTGCTGCTACTGCTGCTGCTGCTGCTGCTGCTGCTGCTGCTGCTGCTGCTACTGCTGCTGCTGCTGCTACTGCTGCGGCTGCTGCTGCTACTGCTGCTGCTGCTGCTACTGCTGCGGCTGCTGCTGTCAGTGACTGTAATGTTGAAAATGTGAATGTAGTGAAAGGAACGATCAGGGACTGTTTCAGTGAAGCTTGTTTTGTTCTATGTGGACCTGCAATGTCTCTGTCAAATAAATGAATACATTAAAGTATAGCCTTGATCTTTCAGCAGGGGCTTCAGGTTAGGTGTCTTGCCCAAGGACACAACAAAACCAGACATCAGTGGGAGTAAGTGGAGAAGGTCTCGTGGTGGACCCAGGACTGAGGCTGTAGACCCAGGACTGAGGCTGTAGACCCAGGACTGAGGCTGTAGACCCAGGACTGAGGCTGTAGACCCAGGACTGAGGCTGTAGACCCAAGACTGAGGCTGTAGACCCAGGATTGTCAGACATGTATTTGAAAAGAATGATTAACTTTTCTGTTCTATAGATTTGAGCAAAGGCAGAAACAGAGAAACTCTTCTGAGCTGTTTCCAACAGAAACATGTGTTTTGTAAAGATCTTGTTCCAGGGACAGGTCAGAGGATGTCTCCCTTCACCTGCAGCAGGGGGCGGGGCCTGTGCCAGGCTCACCCTCCCCTTCCAGCCAATGAGGTAGGCCCTCGGTGACGCAGCCGCAATGACGCAGACGCAGACTGGTCCCCGACAGCCACAGGTCCCAGGATCAGGCTCAGAGACTCCCGGAGCGCACGGAGGAGACGCACGGGGCTGTACGATCCTCAGCAGTGTCCTGAGACTGTACTTCTGCCTCTGCCTCTGCCACACGGGGAAGTTCCACTGAGTTCCACTGAGTTCCACTGAGTTCCACTGAGTTCCACTGAGTTCCACTGAGTTCCTGAGTTCCACTGAGTTCCACTGAGTCAGAAACTCATCTCTGTTTGGAATCATTTATTCTGACTTGGAATTAATCGGATCGAAATGACCGCGGAGAAGGAGAAGAAGAGGTGAGTGTGTGTTTTATGCTGCGGCTGTGAATGTGTGTCTCTGTGTGTGTGTGTGTGTGTGTGTGTGTGTGTGTGTCTATGCTGTGTGTGTGTGTGCTCTGTGTGTGTGTGTGTGTGTGTGTGCTCTGTGTGTGTGTGTGTGTGTGTGTGTCTATGCTGTGTGTATGTGTGTGTGTGTGTCTATGCTGTGTGTGTGTGTGTGTGTCTATGCTGTGTGTGTGTGTGCTCTGTGTGTGTGTGTGTGTGTGTGTGTCTATGCTGTGTGTGTGTGTGCTCTGTGTGTGTGTGTGTGTCCCAGACCTCTGCTGTGATTTAGGGCGACATGATTTGTATTTAATAGTTATTATTTATACTCAATTCTTGCTTCTTTATAATTTTAAATTGAGATTTTTTGGAGTTATTGTTAATTAATCTTGTGCTCCTCATTCTGCTGTTCTGTAACTGCTGATTGCAACACTGACATTTCCCTGTGGGACCAAAAGGATCTCTAACACAAATACATAAAACGGAAAGGAACTGAATAATAACAAACGCCTTTGATGTGAGTCTGAAACTTGCTCATAACGCAGTTCAAACTTATATTTCACCAGTTTTGAGGTTGTTGTTATCTGTCCACTAGATGGCAGTGGCGGCAGGTCAGCTGAGTTTGGAAGTGGGCGGAGCTTCAGCTTCATCCATGTCATCTACATAATTATAAATTATATATTACCGTCTCCACATGTGGCCACATCTTGGAGAGACCATGGGCAGACTCTCTCTGGTCTCTCTCTGGTCTCTCTCTCTGGTCTCTCTCTGGTCTCTCTCTGGTCTCTCTCTGGTCTCTCTCTGGTCTCTCTCTCTGGTCTCTCTCTGGTCTCTCTCTCTGGTCTCTCTCTGGTCTCTCTCTCTGGTCTCTCTCTCTGGTCTCTCTCTCTGGTCTCTCTCTGGTCTCTCTCTGGTCTCTCTCTGGTCTCTCTCTCTGGTCTCTCTCTCTGGTCTCTCTCTGGTCTCTCTCTGGTCTCTCTCTGGTCTCTCTCTGGTCTCTCTCTCTGGTCTCTCTCTGGTCTCTCTCTCTGGTCTCTCTCTGGTCTCTCTCTGTCTCTCTCTCTCTGGTCTCTCTCTGGTCTCTCTCTGGTCTCTCTCTGGTCTCTCTCTCTGGTCTCTCTCTGGTCTCTCTCTGGTCTCTCTCTGGTCTCTCTCTGGTCTCTCTCTGGTCTCTCTCTCTCTCTCTGGTCTCTCTCTGGTCTCTCTCTGGTCTCTCTCTGGTCTCTCTCTGGTCTCTCTCTGGTCTCTCTCTCTGGTCTCTCTCTGGTCTCTCTCTGGTCTCTCTCTGGTCTCTCTCTCTGGTCTCTCTCTGGTCTCTCTCTCTCTCTGGTCTCTCTCTGGTCTCTCTCTCTGGTCTCTCTCTGGTCTCTCTCTGGTCTCTCTCTGGTCTCTCTCTGGTCTCTCTCTCTGGTCTCTCTCTGGTCTCTCTCTGGTCTCTCTCTGGTCTCTCTCTGGTCTCTCTCTGGTCTCTCTCTGGTCTCTCTCTCTGGTCTCTCTCTGGTCTCTCTCTGGTCTCTCTCTGGTCTCTCTCTGGTCTCTCTCTGGTCTCTCTCTCTGGTCTCTCTCTGGTCTCTCTCTGGTCTCTCTCTGGTCTCTCTGGTCTCTCTCTGGTCTCTCTCTGGTCTCTCTCTGGTCTCTCTCTCTGGTCTCTCTCTGGTCTCTCTCTCTGGTCTCTCTCTGGTCTCCTCTCTCTCTGGTCTCTCTCTGGTCTCTCTCTGGTCTCTCTCTCTGGTCTCTCTCTGGTCTCTCTCTGGTCTCTCTGGTCTCTCTCTGGTCTCTCTCTCTGGTCTCTCTCTGGTCTCTCTCTCTGGTCTCTCTCTGGTCTCTCTCTGGTCTCTCTCTGGTCTCTCTCTCTGGTCTCTCTCTGGTCTCTCTCTGGTCTCTCTCTGGTCTCTCTCTGGTCTCTCTCTGGTCTCTCTCTGGTCTCTCTCTCTGGTCTCTCGCTGGTCTCTCTCTGGTCTCTCTCTGGTCTCTCTCTGGTCTCTCTCTGGTCTCTCTCTCTGGTCTCTCTCTGGTCTCTCTCTCTGGTCTCTCTCTGGTCTCTCTCTGGTCTCTCTCTGGTCTCTCTGCAGTTTTGCTCACACGTGTCTGGACTCTTAACAGATCAGAACAGACCCGTGACAGAGACCATGAACAGAGACCATCAGAGCCTGTGCTGCTGGTTTCTTCAAAGTCAGAGGGGGTTTTGTCCTGTTTCAATAACGTTCAAATGAAATTAAAAACACCAGACCTCTCCATATGAAAGCAGCAGGCCTCGTCGTACAGTCTGACAGTCGTATCCGTCCCTGTGTGGAGACCATGTGACCTCACCGTTATGTAAACATGTAACTCTAACATTTACCGTCTAAACTTAAAGAAATGAATAATTATCTTTGTGGATCAGAGTCTGCTGAAGCTGCTTTCTCTGTGGAGTCAGGACCAAAGGAGAACAGCCTCAGGACATTATCGGCCTCAAAGACGACAAAGTCTGAAGCGAGACATATTTTGGATTTTTAAAGCTGAGCGACGTGTTTCGGGTTGAGAGAGTTTGTGTGATTATCTGTCTGTCAATCATGTTCACGCCACTGCTCCTGTGTCTGTGCTCCTGTGTCTGTGCTCCTGTGTCTGTGCTCCTCTGTCTGTGCTCCTGTGTCAGTGCTCCTGTGTCAGTGCTCCTGTGTCAGTGCTCCTCTGTCTGTGCTCCTGTGTCTGTGCTCCTGTGTCTGTGCTCCTGTGCCTGTGCTCTTGTGTCTGTGCTCCTGTGTCTGTGCTCCTGTGTCTGTGCTCCTGTGTCTGTGCTCCTGTGTCTGTGCTCCTGTGTCTGTGCTCTTGTGTCAGTGCTCTTGTGTCTGTGCTCCTGTGTCAGTGCTCCTGTGCCTGTGCTCCTGTGTCTGTGCTCCTGTGTCAGTGCTCCTCCTGTGTCTGTGCTCCTGTGTCAGTGCTCCTGTGTCTGTGCTCCTCTGTCTGTGCTCCTGTGTCAGTGCTCCTGTGTCTGTGCTCCTGTGTCAGTGCTCCTGTGTCTGTGCTCCTGTGTCAGTGCTCCTGTGTCTGTGCTCCTCTGTCTGTGCTCCTGTGTCAGTGCTCCTGTGTCAGTGCTCCTCTGTCTGTGCTCCTGTGTCTGTGCTCCTGTGTCTGTGCTCCTCCTCTGTCTGTGCTCCTGTGTCTGTGCTCCTGTGTCTGTGCTCCTGTGTCAGTGCTCCTGTGCCTGTGCTCCTGTGTCTGTGCTCCTGTGTCTGTGCTCCTGTGTCTGTGCTCCTGTGTCAGTGCTCCTGTGCCTGTGCTCCTGTGTCTGTGCTCCTGTGTCAGTGCTCCTGTGCCTGTGCTCCTGTGTCTGTGCTCCTGTGTCAGTGCTCCTCCTGTGTCTGTGCTCCTGTGTCAGTGCTCCTGTGTCTGTGCTCCTGTGTCAGTGCTCCTGTGCCTGTGCTCCTGTGTCTGTGCTCCTGTGTCTGTGCTCCTGTGTCTGTGCTCCTGTGTCAGTGCTCCTGTGCCTGTGCTCCTGTGCCTGTGCTCCTGTGTCTGTGCTCCTGTGCCTGTGCTCCTGTGTCTGTGCTCCTGTGTCTGTGCTCCTGTGTCTGTGCTCCTGTGTCAGTGCTCCTGTGTCTGTGCTCCTGTGTCTGTGCTCCTGTGTCTGTGCTCCTGTGTCTGTGCTCCTGTGTCTGTGCTCCTGTGTCTGTGCTCCTGTGTCTGTGCTCCTGTGTCTGTGCTCCTGTGTCAGTGCTCCTGTGCCTGTGCTCCTCTGTCTGTGCTCCTGTGTCTGTGCTCCCTGTGCCTGTGCTCCTGTGCCTGTGCTCCTGTGTCTGTGCTCCTCTGTCTGTGCTCCTGTGTCTGTGCTCCTGTGTCTGTGCTCCTGTGTCAGTGCTCCTCCTGTGTCTGTGCTCCTGTGTCTGTGCTCCTGTGTCAGTGCTCCTCCTGTGTCTGTGCTCCTGTGTCTGTGCTCCTGTGTCTGTGCTCCTGTGTCTGTGCTCCTCCTCTGTCTGTGCTCCTGTGTCTGTGCTCCTCTGTCTGTGCTCCTGTGTCTGTGCTCCTGTGTCTGTGCTCCTCTGTCTGTGCTCCTGTGCCTGTGCTCCTGTGCCTGTGCTCCTGTGTCTGTGCTCCTCTGTCTGTGCTCCTGTGTCTGTGCTCCTGTGTCTGTGCTCCTGTGTCAGTGCTCCTCCTGTGTCTGTGCTCCTGTGTCTGTGCTCCTGTGTCTGTGCTCCTGTGTCAGTGCTCCTCCTGTGTCTGTGCTCCTGTGTCTGTGCTCCTCCTGTGTCAGTGCTCCTGTGTCTGTGCTCCTCCTCTGTCTGTGCTCCTGTGTCTGTGCTCCTCTGTCTGTGCTCCTGTGTCTGTGCTCCTGTGTCTGTGCTCCTCTGTCTGTGCTCTGTGTCTGTGCTCCTGTGTCTGTGCTCCTGTGTCTGTGCTCCTGTGTCTGTGCTCCTCTGTCTGTGCTCCTGTGTCTGTGCTCCTGTGTCTGTGCTCCTCTGTCTGTGCTCCTGTGTCTGTGCTCCTCTGTCTGTGCTCCTGTGTCTGTGCTCCTGTGCCTGTGCTCCTGTGTCTGTGCTCCTGTGTCTGTGCTCCTCTGTCTGTGCTCCTCCTGTGTCTGTGCTCCTCTGTCTGTGCTCCTGTGTCTGTGCTCCTCTGTCTGTGCTCCTCCTGTGTCTGTGCTCCTCTGTCTGTGCTCCTGTGTCTGTGCTCCTGTGTCTGTGCTCCTGTGTCTGTGCTCCTGTGTCTGTATTTATCATAAATAACACTGTTTAATCGCTCCCTGTGGTCGACTCTGGACTGAGGCCTCCATGAGTCCATTTTCTCCTCCTGTGTCTGCTTTGGTCTGGTTTGGTCTGGATTAGTCTGGTTTGGTCTGGATTAGTCTGGTTTGGTCTGATTGGGTCTGGTTTGGTCTGATTGGGTCTGGTTTGGTCTGGATTAGTCTGGTTTGGTCTGATTGGGTCTGGTTTGGTCTGGTTGTGTCTGGTTTGGTCTGATTGGGTCTGGTTTGGTATAAAACCCTGAACACAAATTTACTGATCGAAAAAGCCTAAAAAATAACATTCATTCATTCATTCATTTTCAAGCCCTTTATTGTCCATTTCTGGGTCAGGGGGGGGCAATGAGAGCTGCCCCCAACGCTCACAGCACCAGTCCCTCTGGTCCTCTGCAGGGGGTGAGTCCACAGGAAGATGGATGCTCCGTCAGTTGTGAAACAGCCTTGATCTTTCAGCAGGGGGCCTCAGGCAACATGGGGTTAAGTGTCTTGCCCAAGGACACAACAACAGCAGTGATCAGTGGGAGCAGTTGGAGTAGGTCCCATGGTGGGAATCGAACTCACGACCTCCAGGCCCAAAGGCCACTGCTCTACCAACTGAGCTACTGTCGCCCCCTTATAAAAAATAACAATTATTGACAAAACGATAAGATTTTGCAGCTACAGGACATTCTTCTGTCTCAGTGCATTCATTCAACGTTTCTCGAGACTCTATAAAAACCGCCAGCGGCATTAAAGGCTCCCTGAGGAGGTGGTGCATTGTCTCCACAGCTCTGTGTCTGTTGGAACATGGAAACTTTCACTCGTCTCGATGGAAACGACAGAAACTTGAGAGTTTGCTGCGAAGACGCACACGTCAGAGCCTCTTATTCAAGATAATAAATGATAGAATTAAAATAATAAGTAAGTAATAAGATGGTAAATACAATAGACTGAAATAAAAGGTTCTGAAGTGTTTTCAGATGTGTTTATGACTTTAGCAGCGGAGAATAAACCTGAGTAAACAGTGACAGTATCAGCACAAAGGACCTGTGATAATACAACAGCTAAAGTGACTCGAGAATTATCAGCAGTGCAGACTCAGCAGCTCTCGTTGTACAGTCTGACAGCAGCAGGGAGGAAGGACCTGTGACACCTCTCCTTCACACAGTGAGGGTGAATAAGTCTGTCACTGAAGCTGCTCTCCAGACAGAGGGCGACTGTCACGGTCCATGGTCAGAACACTCTGCTCCAGAGAACACTCTGCTCCAGAGAACACTCTGCTCCAGAGAGAACACTCTGCTCCAGAGAACACTCTTGTCCCTTCACATTAAAGGGCCGTCCCTTCACATTAAAGGGCCGTCCCTTCACATTAAAGGGCCTTCCCTTCACATTAAAGGGCTGTTCCGTCCCTTCACATTAAAGGGCCGTTCCGTCCCTTCACATTAAAGGGCCGTCCCTTCACATTAAAGGGCCGTCCCCTCACATTAAAGGGCCCATATGACACTGTTGGACTTTTCTCTGCTTTAAACGTGACAGTGATATTTGCAGAGCAGTGTTTTCATTGATTCCCTGAAGCTTTAGTCAGAGACAGATCTTTCTCTTTCAGTCTCCAGAGGTTTAGAAACGCTTCACACGCAGCTCCAGAAGCCCCGCCCACAGGAGGTGATTGACAGGAGAGAGAGCGGGGGAGGCGGGTGTTGTAGGTCGGTGTCGTTGACGTCAAGAGTTTGTGCTGAATTTGCTGGTTGTAGTTTGTCGGAGAATGCGATAGTAAAATAATCTGTTCTGGTTCAATCCAAATATGAAGAAACTGAAGCCGGAGCAAGAGGAATGTTTAGTAAATGTCATTGAAGCAAAGATGTCGTGGCTCTACTCCCCACGGGCTCCATTAGAGACAAAGGAGATGGCTAAAGCTAGGCTACATGCTAAAGCTAGGCTAAATGCTAAATGCCTCACTCACTCGGGCTCATTACATACGTCACAGTAAACTCAGATCGTTTCAATCTGCAAAAGGAGTTAGCCCCTCCCACCTGGTAATGGAGACAATCCAGACCTTAGTACAGAAAGAAATTTGTACTATGGTGTGGAAAGGCTGGCTTAGGATGGACTGTGAAACATGAAGAAGAGAGACATATGAGACCTTTAACGAGGGGGACACAGGTACTGGACTTTTGGGGACTGGGACCACCTCCTCTGGTCTGAAGGCTGCACTGGGCTTAGATCAAATATCAGAATCAGAACCAGAATCATTTTTATTGCCACGTAAGTAACAGGAGGTCACAGACTTGGAAATTGCTTTGGCTCAGTGCAACAGTCAGAGAGAGATAATAAAAAATAAAGAATAAAAAACACTTCTAAGGAATAAGTTTAAATTTAAAATAGTTTAATATTAAATAACAATGAAATTTTCAATAACAAACTGCAAAATCACATTTACTACAAATGATTGAAATTGAAAGTAAGTGACATAGTTTGTTGTCTGTGTTGCAGAGCGGGGATGTGCTCAGTGGTGTAGGTTGGTAGGTGGGAGCCCCCTCTGCCTCTTGTCTTCAGGATTCTCTACCTCATGTCTGGATGGACGCAGCTGCAATGGTATGAAGCCAACTCCTTCCTTCTTCTGTGGAGATCTAAAGTGTGACCTGGCATTACGAGATTAGAGACTGAGATCACAGTGTGTACCTGGGATTAGAGATTAGAGACTGATTTACCAGTGTGGCTGGATTCAGAGATTAGAGACTGAGATTACCAGTGTGGCCGGGATTAGAGATTAGTGACTGAGATTAAAGTGTAAACTGATTAGAGATTAGATCATGAGATAACAGTGTGACCTGGATTTAGAGGTTTTATAGACTGGGACTTTACAGTGTGACCTGGATTTGTGATTTTAGGACTGAGATAAAAATTGTGAAATGGATTAGAGATTAGAGCACTGAGATTACAGTTGAGATGGATTGAGAGATTAGAGACTGAGATTACAGCGTGACTGGATTAGAGACTTAGAGGCTGAGATTACAGTCTGTGAGATGGAAAGAGATTAGTGACTCGAGATTACAGTGTGAGCTGGAAAGAGACTGAGATTACAGTGTGACCTGGACTTAGAGATTATAGACTGAGATCACAATGTGGGACTGGATTCGAGGATTATAGACTGAGATTACAGTGTGACTGGATTAGAGATTATTAGACTGACATTACCAGTGTGACCTGGATTAGAGATTATAGACTGAGATCACATTGTGAACTGGATTAGAGATTAGAGATGCGATTACAGTGTGCAGATGGATTAGAGATTAGAGACTGAGATTACAGTGTGAACTGGATTAGAGCTTATAGACTGACACTTACATTGTGACCTTGATTAGGATTATAGATGAGATCAATTGTGACCTGGATTAGAGATTAGAGATGAGATTACAGTGTGAGATGGATTAGAGATTCGAGACTGAGATTACAGTGTGACCTGGATTAGAGATTATAGACTGACATTACAGAGTGACCTGGATTAGAGATTATAGACTGAGATCACATTGTGACCTGGATTAGAGATTAGAGACTGAGATTACAGTGTGAGATGGATAAGAGACTGAGATTACAGTGTGAGATGGATTAGAGATTAGAGACTGAGATTACAGTGTGACCTGGATTAGAGACGACTCACAGATTTTCAAAAATGTTTTACTGATTTGAAGACGTTTCTTTTTCCTTGAAATATAAAAAATGTGTTGTTCCTCCTAGAATAATGAAATAGTTGGACAATACCTGCAGGTGAAGCCAGATCCTGTCAATCCTCTGAAGCTCAGCAGGGCAGGGCCTGGTTAGTGCTGTGATGGGAGACCTTTGAACAGCTGGTGCCACAGTGGGGCGACTGACATTACAGTGTGACCTGGATTAGAGATTATAGACTGAGATCACATTGTGACCTGGATTAGAGATTAGAGACTGAGATTACAGTGTGAGATGGATTAGAGATTAGAGACTGAGATTACAGCGTGAACTGGATTAGAGATTAGAGGCTGAGATTACAGTGTGAGCTGGATTAGAGATTAGAGACTGAGATTACAGTGTGAGCTGGATAAGAGACTGAGATTACAGTGTGACCTGGATTAGAGATTATAGACTGAGATCACAATGTGACCTGGATTCGAGATTATAGACTGAGATTACAGTGTGACCTGGATTAGAGATTATAGACTGACATTACAGTGTGACCTGGATTAGAGATTATAGACTGAGATCACATTGTGACCTGGATTAGAGATTAGAGACTAAGATTACAGTGTGAGATGGATTAGAGATTAGAGACTGAGATTACAGTGTGAACTGGATTAGAGATTATAGACTGACATTACAGTGTGACCTGGATTAGATATTATAGACTGAGATCACATTGTGACCTGGATTAGAGATTAGAGACTGAGATTACAGTGTGAGATGGATTAGAGATTAGAGACTGAGATTACAGTGTGAACTGGATTAGAGATTAGAGGCTGAGATTACAGTGTGAGCTGGATTAGAGACTGAGATTACAGTGTGACCTGGATTAGAGATTATAGACTGAGATCACAATGTGACCTGGATTAGAGATTAGAGACTGAGATTACAGTGTGAGATGGATTAGAGACTGAGATTACAGTGTGATCTGGATTAGAGATTATAGACTGACATTACAGAGTGACCTGGATTAGAGATTATAGACTGAGATCACATTGTGACCTGGATTAGAGATTAGAGACTGAGATTACAGTGTGAGATGGATAAGAGACTGAGATTACAGTGTGAGATGGATTAGAGATTAGAGACTGAGATTACAGTGTGACCTGGATTAGAGACGACTCACAGATTTTCAAAAATGTTTTACTGATTTGAAGACGTTTCTTTTTCCTTGAAAATATAAATAATGTGTTGTTCCTCCTAGAATAATGAAATAGTTGGACAATACCTGCAGGTGAAGCCAGATCCTGTCAATCCTCTGAAGCTCAGCAGGGCAGGGCCTGGTTA